AGTTCCTAAGGATGTTAAGGAGAAGCTCGCCAAACCCGCGGAGGCTTTGCAGAAGTATAGGAAGAAGTTCAACCTTCAAAACGCAAAGTAAGTCATTTTTTCTGATTTGATGAATGAATTAAGTTAACAGCTGACATCTAGAAAACGGATGATTTCCATTATCCAAGCAGGATAAACGCAAAATTATAATAATTATATTTTAAACATGCTTTTTCAATTACTGTCGTTAATTGAAATCATCATCGTAGTATATGCACACGTCCAGAAATCTATTACCTATACGCTTATGCCCGTGCACAACTTCACCATGTTGCCAGTATGCAGATTTTTTCTCCAGTTCTGAGACTTTTGTGAAACAAAATCGTCACTATTTTTAAATATCTTAAATGCTGCACAATTTTATTTTAAAATATGTTTGAATGTGTAAGTTTGAATGGGGTTACTTTTGACTTTTAGAAATTTAAAGATCCACTTCTTATTTGTGGAAGGGCGAAATGGGCGGTGACTATTAGACGCCATCATTGTAGCCATCTTTCTCTATCACACGGATTTCTACGACTTACTTTATCGCTCTCACGTAACGGCAAATCGACCATCGGTACTTTCCGACGCTGTATATTATTTACTAACCCACAGAGAATGCACCGCGGAGTGGTGCTCGAGCCGCGCGCAGCGTGACTCGAGGGCCGAAGGCCAAGAGAAAAAGGTCAAGTCCGCGTTAGCGGATTTGCCTACCTTTCTAGTAATGCTTTAAATTTTAATGTACCTAAAGTTAAATTTAACAAAAAAGAACACTGCACTATACAAATTCAGTAAAACTAATGCTTCAGACAGGAAGTTTTGAAATTACCCACCCATCTAGATATTATGTAATTTACCCAAAACTATGTCGATGTTAGAGGTCGTTGGCACTGAAATTCGCAAACTAAACACAGTGCTTTAAAGAAATAGTAACATATACCTACGTTTTATACAAAACTTATTATCAATTTAAAAAATGAATAATAATTCAGCTTTATTTGATCACCCTTATAATGCTGGACCCCCTCCCCCCATGAAAAATTACATCATATAGTTTTACATTACTTACATTTTACATTACTGTACTTACATACAGTATTTGGACTTCATTAATGTTTAATTAGAAAGTATTAATTGAAACAAAAAATACATTAAACATGTTTCTGTGCAAAATCTATGCAAAACTGATGTATTTCGAAAGACACGTTTTTGTGAAAACATAATTATTTTCAGGTTGGTTACCTGTTGCATGTCCTCACCGCACTTGAATTTCGCCGACGGTTCCGCCAACGTCCTGGACGTAGCGGGACTAGACTTTGGAGTTTCTAAAGCCCTGGAAGCCTTCTGCCGAGGTAATTTCTCCTGAACCGCAACCAAACGTTCTGCAAACTGAGATGTTACACCCATCCGAAATCAAAGTGTTCATTGATAAAATTTATAAAATATTTTTGTTACGAGGAACTCCGCCGTAGAAAAATATTCATACCGAGGTGTTTCAAAATAGTCGAATTTTTTATATGGACGAAACGTGGGTCATTCTTTCGATTTATCTTTAAGAATAGTATAGAATTAAGCCTGCTACGATAGTATTTAAAAACACACTTGAAATAGGCAATGTGATTTCTTTTTATATGACTTTTTTTGATCTGAGGACCGTACTTTCGAATAACTTTATTCGTTTTTTTTTCAAGTAATTTAAAATTTGTATAAAAGCAAAAAGACTAAATCAATATACCGAAATGATAGTACTTTTTAAGTAGCATATAGTAATTAAATTAGGCATAATTGCTTGTTACAAGGAAAATCTCATTATCTTAATTGGCTAATGTATTGTTTTGGTATAACTAATAACTTTTTTTCTATAGTAATTAAGTTTAATCTTTATATTTTAATTGGTTTCTTTTTCTTGTTCTATTAAGAAAAAAATTAAATCCTAGACTCAACAGAAAATGTTTACATTTTTTATTTCTTGTTTCATATAATTGATATGATTTTTTTTGTATTACGAATTTTTAAATTTGCGCTACAATTTTTAAAACAATTTTTTTTCTGCAAATAATACTAACAAATTTTTGTCTCTTCGAGAAATATAATTATTTTACTTAACAAACTACATCTCAATCTAAAACAGTAATTTTCCGTAACTCTTTTAGGTATTCGTCGTTGCATTTCCTCTAATTTTAAGTGGTATTAGCAAAAATAAGTTTTTATTTCGTCAGTAAAATAATAAAAAAGCAGCTGTTTTGTGATAATACATAAATAAATACAATTTTTATTCTCAAGTGCCTTGAAGAGTTGGAAAGTCTGTTTTAAAAGGGCCGTTTCTGATTTGGACTTTTTAATCGAAAACAATTCGAAGCGGCTGTTCTACTCTTAATAGTTTCTAATAGATCTTAGTAGTTAAAAACGGAATGATCAGGAAATAACTTGACGAATAACGCGGCTTTTTAATAGTCTTTAATTTAGTTTGCAGTGGGCACACTAAGAGTAGCACTTCACTCGTAATAGTCCGACTTATCAAGTTTATAATTTTTCTGTGATGATACCGATTGAGTTGTTTTCTGATTGTTTACTGGTATCTGCAATTAAGCAAATTGTTATTAATTTTTAATTAAAGGGAGGTAGGTCTGTCCCGTACCGCTCAAAATAGTTTCTGCCTAGCTTTATATGCATCGCAATTTTTTTTTTGCTTGTTTGTACCAGTTAAAACAAAAATCCAAGACGATATTTTCTTGGAGAAACGTGAAATTATAAAAAATGCTCTCTTGCCGGTTTCAGGTGTGAATCCAATGGTCCAAAAAAAAATAAAATATCAAACAGAATAAATTAATAAAGATAAGAATTTTTTTAAATGTCTTTTCTGGATTTTTTTTAAATGTCTCAGTTTTCGTGATGATTACATAAATAACTTTTTTTTTTTTCAATGAACTATATAAACGCCCCCTCCCCCCAATGTCCATCAGTGGATCCATCCCTAATATACAAACCAGTTCACACAGTAAGTGAAAAAAACAAAAGAAAATCATCTAATTTTTAATAAATAGACCCAAAGACACATATTTGAAAGCCAACATTTTTTCAGGTGCCAATTTCTGAAAATAACATAATATTATTTCTACAAAGATTATATCAAATTAAAAAACGTAAATTTTATATAGATTTTAAAAATTCATATTTTCATTGTTTTAGTATCTTATTTTTTTATACATTTTATTTATGTTTTTTTATGTTAAAAAATAGGTAATTCCTCCACCAACAATGTACACTTTCTCTTGCACGATTGATCTTTAATAATAAAATTGTAATTTTTTAAAATTTTGTTACTAATTAAATTGTAGTGTTTTTAGGAATTGCAGTATTGAAAAAATTATAGTTTCCAAATATGCGTGTTCTTCGAGTCTATTTAAAAATAAATTTTTATTGACTCATTCACCATTTTAATATATAGGGTGGACCAAATTCAAGACTTCATTCAACATATTTTTCAAAAATTTAGAAAAAAAATAAAGATGTCACAGGCTCTATTTTTGAGAAAAATGAAAAAAATTGAAAGGCAAAACTGCATCTTTAGATTTAGATTTAGATAGATAGATTTTTTAGATTTAGATAGATTCATTTATGTGGTACAGGTCGCTCAAATAACGTTTTTTCGGTTATAACTTTTATTTTTTTTTAAAAAAAACAGAAATTTTACAATTTATGAAATCTACAAAATTTCCTATCAAATAATATAAAAAAAAATTCACTGTAAGGATATCAAAATTCAACTATTTTATGACCCAATCCAGTGTGCCATGTTCAGGTACTCCTTGACACATTTACATAGGAAACAGCCGAATTGCAATTGATTATTGATTTTGTTTTGCATAAATTATAGTTAAATTTTAGACGTCGAAATATTGTTATTATATAAAAAAAAAATAATAAAAGGCAAAAGTTATAGGAAAATATTGTGCATGCCACTAAATGTAAGCAAAAAGCCGAACAAAAATAAGAAATTTTAACAAATAAAAAGGTTATTTGACATTACAGGAAAACGACTAAAAATTAACAACACCCTGTACCTATTCCTTACAAAAATATCGAAATGCGGTTTTTATCATTCAACTTTTCTCCAAAATTGGACCCATGACACCTACCTACTTTTCTAATCTTCCAATTGATGCCCCAAAACTGGTACCTATAAATGTGGAACTTACCTCTGAGCAATTTTTTTTCCTTAAAGGCTTTGCGGTCCTTTTTCTTTATTGTCAAAGCTGAAAATAATAGATAAAAATTAATGTGTTAATAAACTGTTCTATAGAATACATAGCAAAGGCAATAAATTATTTTGAGTGGTAGTTCAGCTCTGCATTACTTCAATCATTGTTACTCCAAAACCGAAAATGGGAAAGTGATGGACTACTGGCGACCGTTGGTCATTACCTTCCTCAAAAATGTTGTTATATTTTGACCATAGTGTTGAAAGCGAAATATATTTTCAAATTCTGTGAATTACTGAAGGCTGTAACAATTTTTTTATTTTATTAAATTATTTTTTTTTATAATAAATTTTCTATATTTTGGGTTTTCACTGTTTTTATAAATCGATAGTGCTGGGTTTCCCCATTTTTATTACTCCTCGTTCAAAAGGGATATTGTCTTTATGAAAAACTTATTTGCCAATTTTCAAATTCAGCATATCGAAATATAAAAACAAAAATTCGCTGTAGTTAAATTAAATAGTATTCATAATTATACAATTTATTGTTATACATGCATGCATAATAAAATAATACAAGCAAAACTGTGGTGATTTTTTTTTCTTTTTTGAACAAACAAGTACGTATTTGGATTTACTTAATTGTCACTTGCTAAATTGTCTTCATAAATTTTCCGTATATTGATCCTCTTAAAATATTCCATTGTTTGTTGCCATGCACGTTATATTCAACAAATAACACTATTTTGACAAAATCTCTGATCCTTTATCATGGCAGATAAAAAATCTAAGTGTCTGTTTCAAATATTCGATATACAAATTGTATGATCAGATCTATTGGGCAATGCAAAGGTAAGTGGGACTTTTTTAAATTTTTTGCTATAATGTTATAATTATTTATATTAGTTATTTTCTTTTCTTAATTAAATAATTTTACAACCTATTTTTAATAGACCTATGTTCTGTTTTTTTTAATATTTAATTATATTTTGGCTTGTATCTTATTTAAAAAAATATATTATTTAGACAATTTCATTAAATGATAAATACACCTATTGTAGTAGGACCAATAATCAATTATCAAAGTTATTAAGTGGATATACTTACAGCAATTTTGAATAATTAGATGTAAGAAAAAATAAGAATTATCAGTTCTTGGCTCAAGGAAATCTCCTTTTTATATTACAAAATACTCGACTCGTGCAAATAGTTTCATGAAGAATGTAGAAATACAAAGTACAAAGGAGATAAAAAAGAAACTATATTTTTTCAATAAATTAAAATTTGTCTATATGATATAATAGAACAAAAATTTTAGGATTAAAAAATATTTGCAAATGCTTATTAAAAGAAGTACATTTTTATTTTAGGTTACTACTACTGTTACTGGTGTGTCTAACACCGTTCGTTTTTTCTGCAGATAATAATCTGTACAAAAATTGTTCGAGGGTTCCATTTTGCACGTAAGTAAGCCGTTTATGCATTAAAAAAAAAACGATGAAACGCAAACTTTTATGTACGCAAATAATTAATTCGTCAGAATACAGGGTGTAACTAAATAAGTGTAAAACATTTAAGGGGGTGATTCCTCATCGAAAAAAAGATAGGATCTTTCATATAAAGAAACTTCATTGGAGCATTCCTTGTTAAGATACAGCCCCTTAAAGGGGGTACATAAAATTTGTTTAACAATTTTTTTCACAAGCACTAAACAAGTTACAATATTGAAATTAACCTGACATTTTCTACTACCAAAAAGACACTTAGCCAGTAATTTATTTGGTTTACCCCATGGTTGTAAGGGGTGGAAAACGCAACCCCTAAAATTTATTTCCAACGTAACTTTTTGTCTTATTATTTGTTTACCATTTAAAAATTTATTTCCGATAGCCTGTTTCATTCTAAAAAAAAAAATGTCTTGAATTTTTTGCCCAAAATAAACCAGTTCGCAGCAAAAAATTATTTTACTTTATTTTATATTAGGATGGATTCAGTAGAGCCAATTATTAAGAGTTAAAATTTATTAAACAGACCAATAACGCAATGTAATACAAGTCAGTAAGCACATACTTTTTTATAATAGGTTTTAAAGGGATACAGACAGCGACCTTAAACAAGTCGACCATAAAGGAGTACCTAGACTCTTTTCCGTTGTGACTTTTAAATTTCCTTTGCAATTTTGTTGCTTTGTACTTTTTTAAAAATAAATATAGTCATTACTTTGTTTCAGATAAAGTTGAATAGTAGTACTTCACTAATATAGTTAATTCAGCACCAATTAAATGTATCTATTGATAGCGGACTCGCAAACAAAAAAATACAGATTTTACTGTAAACAAACGTCGACTTGTTCTAAGTATTGGGCACGTGTGCAAAAAATTTATCACCAACTATCGTTTTATGACCGCACTAATTTGTATTATACTATTTCATACCACTATAAGACCAATGATTAACCCTTTGGTAAAATATATTCGTTGTGTTGAAATTACGAATAAAAGAACACACCCATCTAGAAAAAATATAGATAGCATGCTGTTTATACACTTTCCCAAAATGATGAAACAATATTCAGTTTTTTTCCAGTTCAAATTTTAAAAAATCGCTGAAACAGGTCAATTAGTAAATAGAAATTGTCACTTTTCTGCAGTATTTTCTTTTTTTTTAGCCATGTTTGACAGACCTATAACATTACCGACATTTTTTTTAATAAGACGCTCTATATTTTATAGCATAAATATATAGCTCTTCTAAAGACGAATTCAGCGATATAAGGTTATACCTACTTTTTGTCATAGTTGTCAAAAAAATGTAAAAAATTGTCTTTTATGTCGTACTGACGACTATTTCAAACATAGTCTCTTCTGTACTTTAAAAAACGTAATCTACTTTTTATTAAGCTTTTTTTTCTCAAAAAAAGTACACATCGATGCACACATAAACTTCACCAGAGTACCTTAGGTAAGCGAAAATGACCGTCGAAATATGATGCTCGCCGTTACTGAAAATCCTCACTTTCCAATAGATCTATCTCAGCCAACTTCAACTTGTCGAAGTCCTCAGTTCACAGAACTCTGAAGTCTCAAAAGTGGCATCCTTACAAAGTTAAAGTCTTACAAGAATTATGGACAGATGACACAGACAGAAGATTACAGTTTTGCGAGGAAATTAAATTTATTTGAAAGACAACCCAACTTAAAAAATCACCTCATTTTCAATGACGAAGCAACTTTTTGCTTAAACGTAACCGTGAACAGGCAAAATACTAGGTTTTGGAGCCTTTGGAGTTTCGGCTGGAATAGCAGGAAATCGCATACTGGGACCTTATTTCTTTGAGGGCAATTTGACAGGCGACATTTATTTAGATTTTTTGCGTTTTTAGCTGATTCAAACCCTGGAACTAATTTTTCCTAACCCTAATGAGCACGATATGCTTGCTGGTGATGTCTGGTTCCAACAAGATGGCGCCTATGTACATTTCCGTCCGCTTGAATGGCCACCACGCTCCCCTGATTTAACTCCACTAATGCGAAGAAACCAGACACTATCGAAGAATTGAAAAAGTTCGAAACATAAAATCAAATATTCGAAATGTAATAATGTAATTGATAACTTGGTTAATGGGGGCCACTTTGAACATTCGTTGTAATAAAATAAAAAGTAATACTAAATTATTGTTTCCTCCATTTTTTGACAACCACCTATGACAAATAAGTAGGTATAACCTTATATCGCTGTGACAATTTCTACTTATTAATTGACCTGTTTCGGCGATTTTTTAAATATTTCAACTGGAAAAAATATGAATTTTATTCCATTATTTTCCACTAACACTTCACGATTAATCCAGCGAAGGTCCAAACTTACACCACTTGGTTTTTATGTCGATCTACATTGTTTTATAGTCACAAAATTAAATAAGTCAAAATAGAACTTTAAATGTGCGACATCGGATTCTTTATTTACATCACATCTCTAGCTCACTATTTCTATATTTGATATATCTAGATTTGTGTCTTTATTGAACAGTACTTGAAAATATTTTAGGACAATGAGATACCAAGAAGTAAACAAGTTCTTCTATTTTTCTGCCGATATTATGAGTTACGCCGTGACGGACAATGTTGTGACTGTGCCACTCAGTAATTTGAACGGTGACGAATTAGATTTACAAATATCCGTCTTATCCGGACGAAAAGCAAGGGTAAAGGTCCTGGAAAAAAATCATAGCCGCTACGAGTTACAGGATGTCCTAGACAAAGATTTCCCTGCTATTAGGTGGGTATCGCACAGTAAAACAGAGGAACAATACGTCTTCGCAGTAGTGAGAAGAGCAATTAATTGTAGAACACTTGCAGTGTTTTGGTTGAGTCTCCTTGGACTACTGCTGTGACGTCGCTTGTTCAACACTTCTTAACTTTCTCTAAAGGTAGTATTGAATCGGTTTCAGCACCGTACACGCAACTACGGAAGAAAGGATGTTATTCCTAATTTCCCAAGAAGATACTAATTTCATTATTCACGTAAACGGTCCTGCTCCGTTCTCTGTAGAATTTCTTTACGACACTCAAGTTGAGCTTGTTCTGAGAGGAGATCGGTTGGTCATGACGAATGTGAGTTAATATCTGAGTAAATTTGCCTGTAACTTATATCAGCAATTTTAGAATGATAGCAGTCAAGCCTTCTCTTTCGATGTGGAATTTGAAGAAGCTCAAAAACTGTATGGGTTGCATCACCATGCTTACAATCTAGGACTAGGAGAAACGGCTGATGGTACGGTAGACCCGTTCCATCTAAAGAATTTTGACACTCCATCCTACGACGTTGGCTCTACAATGGCTTTGTATGGGGCTGTGCCAGTTGTTTACGGTCATTCGTAAGTTGCAATTTCCATTTCATTTACAATTTATACGACAGATATAATAATCATTTTACAACATCGATCTAAACATGTTTCAGGTCTAAATGGACCTCCGGTGTATTTTTGCACAACGCAGCCCAACAGTGGATCGACATTACTTACGCCGAAAGTAACCCAATAGCATACTTTATGGTAGAAAGCGGTACATTTGATTTGTTTGTCATGATGGGACGTACTCCCAAGGAAATCGTCAGGCAGTTCACAGATCTAACTGGAAAAGCGCATATGCCTCAGGTTAATATTCAAATTATAAAATAATACATGTTTAGTCGTCTACGAGTTTTCGACCAATTTTAAAAACATTTTTCAATTTTTTTATTACTGAACCTTTCGCTAAACTTTCGTTTATATCAAAAGTTATGGGCGTTGGGATACCACCAATGCCGCTATTCTTATATGACCCAAGAGGAAGTTAAGAATGTGGTAGCGTACATGGATCAAGGCGATTTCCCGATGGACGCGATATGGCTTGACATCGACTATACAGACGAGAAGAAATATTTTACTTGGAACAAAGAAACGTTTACCGATCCGGAAGAAATGCAGCGAAATTTGTCGTCTACCAACAGAAAGCTTGTGACTATCATCGACCCCCATTACAAGGTCGATGATAATTATCCTGTGTATGCAGGTGCTAAAGACGATCTCTTCGTGAAATGGCCAAATGGAAGTAATTTTGAAGGTTCGTGTTTAATTTATAACAAGAAATCATTTTAACATTAATCTTTTTAGGCAACTGTTGGCCCGGATTGGCCAGTTGGTTCGACTTCCTCAACCCGGAAGCTAGAGATTACTACGCGAGTTGGTTTTCCTACGAAAAATTTGTTGGTTCCACAGAGGTTCTGGCTGGGATCTGGAACGACATGAACGAACCTTCAATCTTCGACGCGCAGTTTGAAAATACAATGCCTTCTGAAACAGTGCACATAGGCGACGTCTTGCATAGGGATGTGCACAACATCTACGGATTTTTACAAGTAAGAAAAACCCTTTCAGCGTGCTTATTTTTCATGATTCCTTTGTAGACCAAAGCTACACACCAAGGTCTAATACAACGCGACAACGGCACCAAGAGACCTTTTATCTTGACTCGCTCCCACTTTGCCGGTTCCCAGAGATACGCTGCCATGTGGACGGGTGATAACCTTGCTCGCTGGTCGCACCTTCCGATTACTTACCCAGAATGTGTCAATTCTAATATGTTGGGCTTGGTATTTTGCGGGGCCGATGTGGGCGGATTTAATGAAAATCCAACTGAACAACTAATACAGAGGTGGTACCAGGTAACGTCACTTTTGCAAGTACTCTTACCACTTCACAATTTGATCATTGCAGGCAGCCATTTGGTTGCCATTCTTCAGGCAACATTCAGCCTCTAACGCGGAGAGGAGAGAACCTTACTTATTTTCAGAGGAAATCCAAAACGTTATCAGAAATGCCATAAAATTGCGATATAAGCACCTGCCGGTCTGGTATACGTTGTTTTACGAACACACTCGTTACGGAGACCCAATTTTAAGGCCGTTTTTCTATGAATATCCGGAATTTTTTGAGCAAGACGACCATGTTCTAGTTGGTAGGTGAAATAACAGTAACGGGCTCGGTAATGTGCCTTGTGGAACACCAGAATACGATTCGTCTAATCTCTTCCAGGGAGTGACATCTTAGCAAGGCCTGTTTTGGAACCTGATGTGACTTCTATAACAGTTATTTTCCCAGGATCGAATACCAACTGGTATAGAGCCGACGACGAATCTTGGTCAGTTCATAAAGGAAATACTTCCGAAGAAGTTGATGTGGATATAAGTACAGTATGTTAAGGGTATTTCATAATTTTCCATAATACAGTTAAATTAATGTAGGGTCTGTATTTCAGTCTCCATACTATTATAGAGCTGGCAGTATAATACCTAGAAAGGATAGAGCAAGAAAATCTTCTACAGACATGCAAAATGATCCCCTAACCATTTATGTAAATTTGGACGAGGTGAGTTGGACGAACCTTTTTGTTAAAAAAATGCCAATAAAAACATTCGTTTTAGAATGGCAATGCCCAAGGAAGGTACTACCAAGATGATTACGAAAGCTTCAAGTACTCCACGGATGATATTTATCTATATGCGACTTTTACTTACATTCCCGCGAGTCATGGTATACAAATTTTGTAAGTATTTCCTAAAAACTTGAATCAATATTTGATTAATTCTTCTCTAGGATTATTGACGGTAATTCTGAGGGATTTGCTCCAGTTTTACAGGAAATCGTAGTTCACAGCATAACTGAAGGTAATTTGATTATTTTTTTTAGTTATGCAACGAATTGTGATACCAACACAAGTTTCAGGTAAAGCAGCAGGTGTCCAATCTAGGTACACCACAAATTCAGAAGGTATCCCTTTGAGTTCTATAGACATCGTCGCACAACTGAAGAAAATGAGAAGCAATGAAATGATGATATTCCTATAAGATAATGATTAACGTATTTTATATTATACGGTTATGGCAAATAAATATGTTTTGAACATGAATATTATAATTTCTAAGTTCTAAGTTTGTAAATCCAGTATTTAAAATATAGATATTTCTGGCAATTGCTTTTTTTAAATCTAATTTTTAATTATGTTTTTAATTTAGTTTAGCTGGTAGTTTTTCCAAATGTTTTAAAGAAAGAGATTAATACAACGTTATACCACTAAATAAAAATATGTTTACTTAACGTACCATAAAATTGAAAAATATGTACGACAGCACAAGTTGCTTTATTTTTCCATGTAGTTGAAAACATTAACCTATTTATCTGTAGATATTTGGAAGAGTAATAGGTAAGTACTCAACAGTATCAATGAAGTGCATTGTGATAAAATCTGTTACCTCTATAAATAACAGAAATATAGTAAACAACTTGTAGTATAAAAAATGTTGAGGTAAGTAGTAAATTACCAAAATTTGTTAATATTATTGGTACTGTCAAAATTATGTCCAGAAAGTTAAATATTTTTTAAAGAATTTTCACCTGTGCAATAGAGTAATAGAGTTGAATGAGTAAAAAAAATTATTTGTTCACAATTTCTTTTGCAAACCGTTCGGTATACCTCCAAATTAGTTGTCTTAGGTAAAAATAAACTAACTTAGATCAAGTTGCATAAATATAATTTTCCTTCCTTGAAAAGTTGTTGGCCTTCAAAAAGTTTTTATTTCATTTTTTGACATAACTCCACCACCTTGATTCCAAATATGATGTGAAGGGGTTTCTGGAGGAGCCGAATATGAATATGAACATTATTTTATAAACAGAGGGTGCTCACAATGCGTTAAATAATATTTTGTTTTTTGTTGCTGTATTTAATGGTAGAGATTTTATGAAAATGAAAAAGAGGATTGTAAAAATATATTTATTTGCGTTTTCTCAAAACCTCTACCAATAAAAAAATACGACAAAAAAACAAAATCCTGTTCAGGGTGTTCTCAGTGTTCGTAGTGTTCTTAATTCAGAAAAAAAATAAGATCACATTCATGTTTGGCTATCTCAAAAACCTTATCTTTTAGTTATCTTAAAAAAATTAAATAAAATTTTATTTGGGAAGACCAATTTTTTAATTAAGCAAAGTTGTACTATGGTAACTTGATCTAAATTGGAATATTTTCTCTCTAGAATCCTACTCTCTTAGTGTTACCCCTTCGCTTCTGGACACCCTGTATAACAAGTTAATTTGGGAATAAGTATAAATTTCACAAATTAAAATTTGGAATAGGTAATTAACATTTTACCAAAGTTTTTAAAACATTTTAAAATTGGATTTAAGATGTGATACTATATTATTAATATTACATGAAACAAATTTATCATCTTGACCAATTTTTTTTTATTGTATCAAATAACGGATACTGCTTGTAGAAGAAAACAAATTTTTAATAGTAAAATCTTGAGAACTTATCACATCACACCACAAAATTTACAATTCAAATTGTCACATACAAGTGTTAGATAAAATATCAAATACTCAAAAAAATTGATTTAGCTTGTTTTCCAATAAACAAATAAACAAAAAACACTTTAGATTTAGATAATATATAGGCGCAAGTAAGTAATTTATATATTATTTTTATATTTCCTTATTATTTTTATTGTATTTCTTATATTCCATTATTTTAATGGTATAGATCAGCATATTTATGCCTTTACTGGCGCTGGCGTACAACCAAAAAATGTATTTAGATTAAAAATTACTGAATTTTGCTTTTTGGTAAGTACCTAAATTATTTTTAATACGTATGATTATTTGGATGACGTGAATCATTGGGTACTTTAATTACACATTTTTCAAATTCATAATTTGATTAAAAGTTCCTGTTTTAAGAGACTCATAATTACTAAAATTCAAGCTAAAATTTAAACACAACACTAATTTCGTACTACAAACATTTTATTTTATTTATTTCAAACTGGAAAACAATTGTCTTTAAATTTACTAAATGTTTCACAATAATAGTTGTTTACATTTTTTCCGTAGGACAAAGTCTGCCGCGTGCACACGTGGTATGCACCAGCTGTGTAGCGTTAGGTTAAGCGCTGTTGTAATGAAACTTCCCCATATTAATACTCGCTGTATTTTGAAAACTGTTAATCTTACGCCCCTGTAATACACAACTTTTTTATTCATTTATAATTACTCTATCTCACGCTGAAGTAATGGCAGTCAAACTTCTTACACCCTGTATTGTGATTTACAACTTATCCAAAAAAATTTGGGAATAGATGCGTCATGAAAAATGGAGTCAATATCGTAAAAAAATTAAAGTTGTCGTATTTTCAACCTTTACATTGCTGGGGTACTGTGGTCTCTAACGTCATTCGCCCACGTAGCCTCAAGCGATTACGAATATGTACTGAAATCCGATTTTACTAATATCGTTGTTGTGATAGTGTTTTCATTAGTTTTTCAAGTGTCAAAAATGACTTACGTGTATAGTAACTCGGAGTTGATGGTTGTCGTTTTAATTTATGGTGAAGCACAGTTGTAACATCAGGTATGTCAAATTATTTTATTAATTAAAGCCACAAGTTAATTTTATTAATTAATAACAATAGCGGCAAAAGAAGTTGAATTTGCTGAAAATAAGTGTTATTTCCTTACTTGGGAAAGAATTCCCTTCAATTTTTTGTCCGTTCATTTTTTATTACACTTTTCCGCCGTGCCGGTTGCCGACTGCATGCTTTGCCTTGCGTAAGGTTTTACAATGGACCAGTTTTTTGGATAAGTTCTGAATCACCCTGAATAGTCAGTTAAATATTGATTCCTGAAATATTTTTTACATATGTTGTTAATAATTTCAGGCTTTGGTTAGCGACTGCTTTTCTTGCAACGGCAGTGCAATCGATAGACTACAATGTCTTCCGAAACTGCAGCAGGGAAGCGTTTTGCACGTAAGTGTTTAAATAAAAATCCATCAAACTATCGACAATAGCACGTCCTCGCACAACATGATTAGAATCAGTGTGAAAATTACTTTTTCAGAAAGTTCCGGAACCAAGTCTTGGATGAAAATGCACAATTTTTTGCCGACGTATCTGATGTGTCGAGCGTTTTGAATGTAATTAACGTGCCTTTAGCTAATGGTAATGGAGACACTTTAACTTTAGCTCTAACGATATTAGCTGAACATAAAATGAGGGTCAAGGTTTTGGAGCCCGACCATCGTCGATATGAACTTGTTGACGTGCTACTTGATGACATAGAGGAATATCCGTAAGTGTGGAACTAAAACAATTACACCTTCTTTCTTACACCTTACCTTACCTTACCTTACCTTACCTTACCTTACCTTACCTTACCTTACCTTACCTTACCTTACCTTACCTTACCTTACCTTACCTTACCTTACACCTTACCTTACAACTTCTTCTAAATCTAAATAGTCATGTTTCAGGCCTTCAGTGGAAAAGACATCTGATGAAATAACTATAACTTCAAGTCACGCGGAACACTGCAAAGTCGTGGTGAGGAAGGGGCCACCATTTGTGGTTGAATTTTACCATGAAGGTCGACTGGAGGTAGTTCTAAATGGAGACAGGCTAGTTATGGAAAATGCAAGTACCTATTACCAAATAGCTCTAAATCGGTTACCTCTTGCTTCTATTAAAATGTTCTATCTTTTAGACCGATACAAGCCAGGCGTTTAGTTTTGCTGTCGAATTTGAGGGATCTAGCAAACTCTATGGACTTGCACACCACTCCTATCAACTTGCCTTGAAAGAGACAACAGACGGTTCGTCCGATCCCTTCCGATTGAAAAATACAGATAACTGGGGATACGACGCAGACTCGACCACAGCTTTGTATGGATCCATACCAGCAATCTATGGACACTCGTAAGTTGCAAAGTAATAAAAAAGTAAAAATAGCATAGTTCGTATCTAGATTGATTAAAGATTAATTTGTTCGACGTTCAGACAGATGGCAATGTAACCAGTGCGCATCTGAAACTAACGTAATTTGCTTAAGCTGATGTTTGAAGCTGTTTTAAAATTTTACAGAGCTAATTTCACATCGGGTGCATTTTTACACAACGCAGCTCAAATGTTTGTGGATATCACTTACTCGGGTAATAGACCTTCAGCTTACTTTATGGTAGAAGGTGGTTCCTTAGATCTTTTCATACTCATCGGACCTACGCCTAAGGACGTAGTAAGGCAGTATACTTCTTTAACTGGTGTCAACAGCATGCCACCGGTAATACTTTATCGATAGTGTATGACAGTTTTGATACAAAATGTTTTTAAAAGGCATGGGCTTTGGGTTACCACCAAAACCGCTACACTTACTGGACACAGGAAGAAGTCAAAGAGGTAGTTGCGTTGATGGATGCTGCTGATTTTCCCTTGGACGTCATCTTCCTCGACGATGGCTATACCAACGGGAACAGGTACTTCCAGTGGAATCCAGAAAACTTCACTGATCCTTTGGAGATGCAGCAAAACGTATCGGCCACTGGTCGCCATATGATCGCGGTTTCTGACCCACATGTGGCTGTGGATGAGAACTATTTTATGTACGTCGAAGGCAAAGAGTTAGATTTCTATGTGAAGAATTCCGATGGAAGCGATTTTCAAGGTATGTAGATAATTAAAGCTGAAAGAATATAACTTCATGTTTTTATGTCTTCGAAGATTACAGCTGGCCGGGGCTGTCAGTATGGGTGGACTTTTTGAATCCTGCCGCTCGAGATTGGTACGGGAATCTATTCCTCTACGAACATTTTCAAGGAACAACTGAAACCATTGGAGGATTCTGGAACGACATGAACGAACCATCTATTTACAATGACACCATTGAAAGGACATTTCATCCAGAATTAGTTCATTATGGGCAAGTCACGAACAGAGAAATTCACAACATATACGGACTATTACATGTTAGTAAACATTAACAAATGTTTCTTTAAGCAAAATATTTATCAAATATCTTTATTCTTCCTTCAGGTTAAAGCTACCAACAAAGGATTAGCTATAAGAGACAATTATGAGAAACGAGTGTTCATCCTAAGTCGTTCCCATTTCGCGGGATCTCAAAGATATGCTGCTGTATGGACTGGAGATAACATCGCTGACTGGCCTCATCTTCGAAACAGTATCTCCGAATGCCTTACATTCAATTTGTTAGGAACGGTAATGTGTGGTGCAGATGTTGGAGGCTTCTTCACAAATCCAACAGACGAGATCTTCCAGAGATGGTATCAGGTAATCATTAATGTGTATAATTAATTTCCAAGGTATCACGGCCCTACAATAATACTGTTACAGGCTGCTATTTGGATCCCATACTTTAGAGCTCACTCCAACAAGGGAACAATTCGTCGAGAGCCCTATCTGTACCCTGAAGAAATTCAAGCAGTGCTGAGGCTTGCCGTGAAGACACGCTACAAGCACATACCATACTGGTATCTGCTCATGTTCGAGCATACCCAAAGCGGAGATCCCCTGATCAGACCACTTTTCTACAGTTATCCTGAGTATCTCGAGTACGATGACCACCTGTTATTAGGTGAACCTAAATGATAATGCCTTTCTGGCAAATTTTTAATTTTTGCTTCTTCAGGTGAGGAAATTCTTGCAAGGCCTGTGCTGGAGCCTGAAGTAAGTGAAGTGGCAGTCACTTTTCCTGGAAGTAATTTGTGGTACAGAGTTGATGACGACTCATGGAAGATTTATGAAGGTGCCAGTGAACAAAATGTAGCTGTAAACATTACCACAGTAAGTATTTAACATAGTTAGTCTAAATGGTGGAAAACGATCTATATTCGATTTCAGTCGCCATTCTTTTACCGAGGTGGCAGTATAATTGTTAGGAAAGACATTGAAAGACCATCCACCACGCAGATGGCAGATGATCCATTCCAATTGTATGTGACTTTAGATGCTGTAAGTTATTTGCTTACAACTTTGGCAAAATAGATTCTGTAATTGTGTACTTGTAGAATAACAATGCAGAAGGACGAATATACTTTGACGACCATGTTAGTCTAGAATTTAGTACTAAAGAATCTTATTATTACTCTAGACTCATATACGACTATGCAACAAATGGAGTCAAATTCGAGTAAGTAATTTTAAAGTGTTACTATTAGTTAATACGATTTACTGAACTTCCAGAACCATTTCCGGCAATCCTGAAGGCTTTAATGCACGTATCCAAAGTATTGTAGTACACCAACAAGGAGGTAAGAAGGAAACTTACAAAAAAATATATTAAATTAAAACTATTTGACTGTTTTTTCAGAAAACAAAGAGACTGTGACCAAAACTTACACAACCACAAGAGATGGCACACCTTTGGAAAACATAGACATCATTCAGATGCATAAACTAATGCAAAGTGACAATAGCTTCACTCTGTATCTCTAGACTCGAGATAATACATTTTGACGATAAAAAATAAAAGATTTCTGACGTACATTAAAAGCTTTTTTTTATTACTACAAAAATTTACAAAAATAAACTTATTTGCTTCAAACTATTTCCACTCCATACCTAGAATATAGAATGCAATGCATAAACAGACGCGGTGTCCTGTGGATGAAATGATCTCTAAGATGTTTTAAATAAATGCAATACATTCTAAAGTTGTAAGAACAATCACAAGAATACTGACTGAACAAATAGTATAAAAATAATTATGAATCTTGTTAATGCGTTCAAATTCATAAGCTATAGTACTTGCCAAGGCTATTATTAGATGTTATAAAATTAATAGTAATCAAAAATGCATTTTTTATCTCAATAAAGATCTGTTCTATGTCTTTGAAGAATGTGCTTTATCGATATTTCACATCTAAGATAAATCATAATATTTTTATCAGTTGCTAAGAATATCTACATTAAATTTATTAAATTTATTAGTGTAAGCCATGTGGTAAGTACTTTAATATATTAATCCATAGACCAACACATTGAACTATTATTTTTCTAACCGCTGCTAAAACAATATAAGTCTATCTTATGATAACTTGTCTATCGATTTGTTATCATTAAATATTAATATATAAAAATGATATATAAGTTACCATGGAAATTAAATTATCAAAAAAGAGCAATAAATAGGTTATAGTATATGGTGGAAATAGAGGCAAGTTTTTCATTGCAAAAAATAAACGATGCAATTAACACAAAACTAGAAACTAAGAACTAAATTATATCCATATTTTGTTAGAAATTAATTTTATTAGAACAAATATGAGAAAAATATTAGCAAATTTTAGTTCGGGTTAAAAATGAAAAATAAGCGAATATCAAATTTTTATTGGAACATTTCAAAAATCCATTTTGAAAATTGTTCGATTTGAGATATAATGATAGAAATATATCAAACGAGAGTAATTAGAAAAAATATTAGAAATCTAAATTTTAGGATTTGGTTAGTGACCACCCTCCTTGTCACAGTTGTGCAGACTGCTGACGATGTCTTCCATACTTGTGAGATGGAATCTTTCTGCAAGTAAGTAATAATTCCATTTTACCATTAATTTATTACCCATTCACCATCCTTTCCAAACACGAAGCGCTAACGATGCCTATTAAAATAAATTTAAGTTTACAACTTACAACAGTTAAATTAATAGAAAAAAAATACTATAGATAAAAAATTGAATTAAAAGAATAGGTGCAGAAAAAATAAACTATAACAGAAAATTGAGGAAGCGTGCACCATCAAGTGACAGAAATCAGAATGACAACACAGAAAGTTTAAACTATTTTTATTTAATAAAATCAATAATATTTACTGACCCCACATTAGGCGCCAAGTGATAGTACGACAAAAAAAAAATTTTTTTTGTCTTATGAACTATATGTCTATCTCCTCTTGTTTTCGAGATACAGAGCGACAAAATAAAATTTTTTAAATAAAATTTTTATGCAAATTTCCATACGGTGCGAAATATTTTTATGAAATTTGGTATTCCGGAGTTTTTGACGATACCAAATACGCTGGTCAAATTATTTTAATGACTATAATTAGTCATTACTAACTATAGTCACTAAAAATGACTAAAATTTTGATATAAGGTTAATTAGAGTTTAAAATATTACTAAGAATGTATGCGTTGTTTATGAGACATCCATCAATAAGTTTTAACATAAGCCTGCTTTGAGAAAAGTCACTTATTTTATACACCATAATATTGTAAGAGTTCAATTAAAAGCCTTTTTTCTCGAAAACCGTCCACATTAGGAAGTTCTAACAAGAGTACATTATTTTTAGAAAATAAAATTGTACATTAGAAATTGGAGCCCGAATGGTAAAAAACCTAACCTTAAAAAAATTTGAACTTAAAACGTAATAGGAACGTAGCATAACTAGCGCCCTCTATGAAATATACAAAAAATAATAAAATCAGCGATTTGGCATCCTTAAAAACTCCGGAATACCAAATTTCATTAAAATATTTCGCACCGTTTGGAAATTTTCGTAAAAATTCTATTTAAAAAATGTTATTTTGTCGCTCTTTATCTCGAAAACGAAAAGAGACAGACATATAGTTCATAAGGCAATTTTTTTTATTTTTGTCGTACTATCACCCCTTGTATTTACGGGAGGTCTTTCTGAAACACCCTGTATACAGGAGAAATTGAATTTATGAAAACAGTAAATTCTAATAGTGAAAACGTTTCAAGTAAAAATCAACTTAGGTAGTCTTTAAATCAATTCAAAATAAAAGAAGGAAAGTATTTTTTTGTTCCCATGTAAATTTCCTGCACAAACAATTTTATTGCCCAACGTAGGGACAGTCTAAATTAAAAACCATAAATCAAAATAAAAACAAAAGTCTGTTGTTTTTTTCAGTACTTTCAGAACTCAAGTCTTGGATGATGACGCCCAGTTTACGGCAAATGTAGCTGAAGCTAAAATAGTTCTGAATACAGTTAACGTGCCAATAACTAATGGTAATGGTGATTCATTGACTCTAGAACTGTCGATTTTATTTGGCCAAAAAATGAGGATTAAGGTACTAGACAATGCTCAACGGTACATCATACAAAATGTATTACCCGTCGACAAAAAGGACTATCCGTAAGCACAAATAACCATTTTTTTTTGTTATATTACAAAAATATAAGACGTGAGTGTATATTTTAGGCCAGCTATAGATATAACAACTGACGCAGTGACAATAACTTCGACATGGGCTGTGGATGATAAGATCGTAGTAAGAAAAGGTCCACCATTTACAGTTGAATGTTACCACCTAGACCAACTGGAGGTAGTTCTAAACGCAGACCGTCTCGTTATGAAAAACGTGAGTAATTACAAGTAATTTTGATTTTAGTTGTTCATTTAAAGGTTCTCTTTGGTGATACAGATTTTTATTCATTATATTGATTTCTGTAAACCACATTTTAGGCTACGACTGTGGAAGAGCAGGCTTTCAGCTTTACAGTTGAATTCGAAAAAGCTCAAAGATTGTATGGTTTAGCTCACCACTCTTACAAACTTGCTTTGGGAGAAACCGCCGATGGTTCTTCGGAACCTTTTCGGTTAAAAAATATGGATAACGGAGGATATGAAGCTGACTCGCCCATGGCTCTGTCTTCGTCCATACCAGCTCTCTATGGCCATTCGTAAGTCACGACATAGAATGTTATGTGTACACTACTATCTAGAAAAATCTAGTAGTCGTCACAGTTTTAGTTTAACATTTGGTTTCATACGTAGCCAATACAAACTTTTTTCATAGTACAGTCATTGAAGCTTTTCACCTCCGAATTCTTTGAAACTGAACCGATCGACTTGAAATTTGGCAGATAATTAGAGAAAAGGTCAATGAATATTAGTGACATCATAGCGCCGATTGACGCTTCCGCCTTGTTGGGGGTTGACACCCCTTCTCGGGGGTGGATTTTTTTTCAAAAATAACACTGGAAATCGATAGAGAATCAAATTTTGAGCAAAAACTATTCGAAGAATTTTTTTCGAAAAATCAATAGTTTTCACGATTAACAACTTGAAATTTTCAGTGAAAAAAAAAACACTTTTTCAAAATATTTTTCACGAATAACTCAAAAACTACGCATTTTATTAAAAAAAAGTGTAATGAACAAAAATGTAGCCTATAAATAAACAAAGAAAATCGGTTTTTAAAAAGTGTACGTTCTATTATATAAAGCGAAATATGGTAAGTAGAAGGGGACTTGTTTTGGGGGAATATTCGAATCGACGTATTCAACGTCAAATAACGGAAAAAGGATTAATTTTACGTGTATAACGCTCCTGGAGTTTTTTGTAGTACTCAAAAAGACCTTCAAAATGAGCACTTATAAAAGTTAATTAGAGCAAAATTGAAGGAGTTGTCAAAAACAGATGGGTTGCTCATATTTTTTAAGGAAAAATGAGCAGTAAACGCTGTACCATTTCCATAAGAATTAAAATTAATCGTAGACCCTTTACAATTAGTTNTTCAAAATGAGCACTTATAAAAGTTAATTAGAGCAAAATTGAAGGAGTTGTCAAAAACAGATGGGTTGCTCATATTTTTTAAGGAAAAATGAGCAGTAAACGCTGTACCATTTCCATAAGAATTAAAATTAATCGTAGACCCTTTACAATTAGTTTTGTTTTAGTGTTTTTCATACGATTCTTAAGTTAGACCGGTTTAGAATGCGTATTTTTTTAATAATGTACGGTAAAAGTTGAAAACATATTTTTCATTATTAAAAAAAAATTGCCTTATTTATATAATAACTCTGAAACTATGAAAGATATGTAAAAAATAATAGACAACAAAAATGTAGCTTTTTTTTCAACAAATATTTTGCTATTTTTTTATTCCTATAGGAAAATAAAGGAGATATCGCCGCTTGAAGTATCGATTTTAGTGAAAAAACGACCTGTCTCGAGCCCTTCAATCCTTTCCCTTTAAAAAACGAAGGACTTAAAAGGTTTTATATGCAAACGATCTTACAGTTCTTGAAATTCTCTTTAAAATATTTTTTGTAGGATACTACAGCCTCAAAATTAACCGAGTTATGGTAAAAAAATCAATGACATTTTTTCGGAGCAAAATAGGCTTTCTTATTTTTGGAGCAAAATGTTAGGATTCAAGTGCGCGTCAGCGTGTATAAACAATGTAAGGGAATTTTTATTTTAAATTATTGCACAATTATAGCATTCCAAGATTTAAAACGTACTACATACATACACACACATTCCAACTGATTGGGGATGGGTTAAAATTGAAAATTATTTACACCCTACAAAAACTTTGGACTCACCTGCACCACAAGAACTACTGAAAATGATCTTTTGCAACTGCAAAAAAAGGTGCGCCGCTACTTGTGTGTGTGTGTTGGTTTGTTCTGCAGTTCAACTTGTGGAATGTTCTGTGGAGATAACTGCCATAACTGTCCACCAATTGAAGAGCTTTTAGACAGTAATTCTAATGATTGTGAACTTTGGTGAATTATTATATTAGTGAAACATTTTTATATTTAAATTTAAATATTATACAAATAAAATAAGTAAAAAAATTTAGTGTCATATGCAGCGCAGCAATTTTTTTTATGATTGATTATATTTAAAAATCGATTATAATAAAAATATTTTACATTAATATCGGTAAAAGGGTAGTTTATAAGAGTTGAAAATGGCAAAAGTAAAATATTTTTTCATAAACAATATAAGGGAATTTTTATTTTAAATTATTACACAATTATAGCATTCCAAGATTTAAAACGTAATTTTTTATCATTTTTTTAGCACAGCAGGGGTGATTTATAAGGGTTGAAAAGTGTTATGAGATACAAATTCTTTCATAAGCAATGAGGGAATTTTTATTTTAAATAATTGCACCGTTAAAGCATTCCAAGCTTTTAAAAAGTAATTTCCTATAATTTTTTTCAATACAGGGGTGGTTTTTAGAGGTTGAAAGGGAAAAATTCTTTTATTAGCTATAAGGTAACTTTTATTTTAAATAATTGCACGATTGAATCATTCCAAATCCTTAAAAAGTAATTTTTTATCATTATTTTTGCATAGGGGTAGTTTTTAAGGGTTAAATAAATGGTCGAAAAATCAAATATATCATAAAACATGTTCGAGAACATGGAACATTATTTAATCTTTGAGCTTGAACAAGATTTTTATCAATAAAATGCTTAAAACTTAATTTTTTCAATTTTTTCCACTTAGGGGTAGTTTTTACCCCTAAAAACAAAAAGCGTCAATCGGGCTTATGTCTCTTTTGAACTTGAGCCTATTCTTAAATTCATTTTCCAATTTGATAGGGCTGACTTTACTTCGGGCGTATTTTTACACAATGCAGCTCAGATGTTTGTAGACATCAGCTACACAGGCAACCGCCCATCAGCTTATTTCATGGTAGAATGTGGACAATTCGATCTAGTTCTGTTCCTGGGCCCTAAACCTAGGGACGTCGTCAGGCAGTACACCTCGATGACAGGCGTTACCCGTATGCCCCAGGTAATGACCCTTGTTATTTAACAAATGTTCCAATACGTCATTTTGTAGCTGTGGACTTTTGGTTACCACCAAAACCGTTTCACTTACTGGACCCAAGACGAGGTCAAAGAAGTGGTGGCGAAAATGGACCAAGCCGATTTTCCCATAGACGTGATTTACCTAGACAAAGGCTACACGAACGGTAGCAGGTATTTTCAATGGAATCCTGAGAATTTCACGGATCCTTTGGAATTGCAGCAGAACATTTCTGATACTGGCCGTCGCATAATCGCTGTTTTAAATCCCCACACCGCCATCGACCTGGATTACTCCGTTTACGTTTCGGGCAAAGGGTTCGATTACTACATCAAGAAACCTGACGGAAGCGATTTCAAGGGTGAGGACAGTAATGGATAGAAATATTTTACTTTTGAAAGATTCCTTGACAAGGCCATTTATCGTAGTATTAGTCTTTATTTCTATCTATTTTTATCTAAGTCTTTATTTCTTAAACATCTTTATTTATTGCAACGACATTAATTTTGTCACATCTTCAAGCTGCAAAAAAGATATTGTAATATAAGTTTTCTTAAATTAGTGTAGTTGGCAATTATTGTTATGAATTAGTTACCTATTATTAAAAACATACCATATAATTAAAAATCTCAATACATTTACGAGTATAATACCTTTTTGCAGCCTAAAGATATAACAAAATTAATGCCATGAAACCAGTTGCGATAAATAAAGAGATAAATACTTTGTCTTAACCTTTTTGAGATTAAATATTGTTTTTAGTGTTTTTGCGATGATTCGAAGCATTTTTCATTTACTTCAATATATGTATTACACAGCTCCACAAAAAAAAAATCGAAAATATTACTCTTGCAGTCTGACTATGTCTATCATATGTTTTCGGGATCGCTGAATCCAAATTCGGGATCCATTTAACCCCATCACGTCAAGATTTTTCATAACCTCAAAAAATAGGCTCAGAAACGCAATAAATCCTCTATACATTGACCACTCAGTACCAATAACCCCATAACCCCTTAAAACTCTTAACCGCATAACCTCAAAATGCCATAACCCCAAAACCCCAGTACCCGGTAAGAAAAAAGCATGTATGGCTTGAACTACTGTATTTCAGGACTTCATCGCGCATAGAAGATTTATTGCGTTTTTGGGCCTATTTTTTGGGGTTATGAAAAATCCTGACGTGATGGGGTTAAATGGACCCCGAAAACATATGATACACATAGTCAGACTCCAGGGGTAATTTTCTCGTTTTTTTATGAGGAGCTGTGTTATCGATACGAACGACACAAGTAATTAATATCTTTATTTGAAGACCTCAGCAGACCTGGTGAATCTGTTTGGATAGACTTTTTGAATTCCGAGACCCGATTATGGTACGCCAATTTTTTCTACTACCAAAATTTCGATGGAGCGACAGAAACTATAGCAGGGATCTGTCACGATATGAACGAACCATCTGTTTCCAACGACACCACCGAAAGAACATTTCCACCGGACGTTTTACACTATGACCACGTTTACGATAGAGAAATCCACAATATGTACGGATTGCTACATGTGAGTATAACCGAAGTTACAAGATAATATAGGAGCAAAAGTATTTCTCAACTGTTCCATGTGAATTATTCTATAATTCTTATGTTCATAGGTAATGGCTACCAACACTGGAATGGCCGTCAGAGACCTGTACAAGAAACGAGTGTTCATTCTAAGTCGTTCCCATTTCGCAGGATCCCAAAGCTACTCTGCTGTATGGACTGGAGATAATACTGGTGATTGGCCTTATCTCCGGAACAGCATATCCGAATGCCTCACCTTCAATTTACTAGGAGCGGTGCAATGTGGAGCAAACGTAGGAGGATTCTATGGCGATCCAACAGAAGAGCTTTTGCAGAGGTGGTACCAGGTGAGTTATCTATTCCAAAACAATTGATACTATTTCAAACACTTCCGTAGGCGGCTATTTGGATTCCATACTTCAGAGCACATTCTGCTACTCCGAGGGAACCTTATCTGTACTCTGAAGATGTTCAAGCGGTGATCAGACTTGCCATCAAGACCCGTTACAAACACATACCCTACTGGTACAGGCTCATGTTCGATCACACTCAAAGTGGAGATCCTTTGATCAGACCACTCTTCTACAGCTACCCTGAGTATCTTGAATACGACGACCATCTCTTGATAGGTGAGAATAGTAATGGCGTTGATGGTTTTCAAATTCAATTATTTTCTATAGGTGAAGATATTCTTTCAAGGCCTGTGGTGGAATCGGGCGTGACTGAGGTAGAAGTAAGTTTTCCTGGAGACGATATTTGGTACAGAGTCGATGACGATTCGTGGACGACTTATGAGGGTGGCAATGCACAAAATTTAGAAGTGAATATTACTACAGTAAGTGGAATTTTTATATACATGCTACAGATGACTTACGTGACTTATACAGTATATTAGAAGATTGACTGATATTACTTTAGTATAAGATTGATGAACGAAGAAGTTGTATTTAATGGACGTAACATCCTAGAACTAGCCAGTCAGTTGCACTTCTATACAAGCCTATTATATACAAATAAGTTTGCATTTGGGTTAGCTTCGTCCACAAATGGTGTATTTGTAAATCTGCTGTCTCAAATTGTCGCCCTTCTCAATCTCCCACAGTCCTGCTTGACGCAAACTTCTTTGTCGGTCAGTACACAAAATTAAGCGAGATTTCTTATTTACTTAACCGAACTTATATATATCAACTTAGAGATTTTTTTTTAAAACGGTTGACCTTTGTCATGTAATGTTTTTTTATGTTTATAACGAATATCAAAATCATGGTAGTCAAATTTCTAACACTAACAATTTTTATAATTTCAGTCGCCTTACTTCTATCGAGGGGGCAGTATAATACCAAGAATGGACATTGAAAGACCATCCACGACGCAGATGATGTCTGATCCGTTCCAATTGTATGTAAATTTGGATGCTGTAAGTAGATTGCCCAATGTCTCAATTTTTTTAAACACATTTTACTACACCTTTAGGAAGACAACGCAGAAGGACGGTTGTACTTTGACGACTACACCACTTTGGAATATAGAACCCTGATATCTTACTTCTACTTTAGGCTTGTGTATGATTCGGGGACGAATGGGATCTGGTTCGAGTACGTATTTGTCCTTACGTTATTTTGACTTCTAATAAATCAATTTTTGTTCATACCATATATGTATTTACAGACGTATAGTTGGCAATTCTGACGGCTTTAATGTTCGAATACAAAGGATTATAGTTCATCGACCGGGAGGTAGGTCTTCTTTTTATTTGTAGAAAAATAAATAACATTTTTTAAATACAATTTCAGAAGACAAGCAAGCTACAACAACCATATACACAACTGCGAAGGATGGAACGCCTTTGGAAGAAATAGACATTGTACAACAACATCAACTAATGCGAGGAGAGGGTAGATTTGCTATATATCTATAATAGAAACTTTAGTAAATTATATAAAAATAAGTTGAAAAATAAAAATAAAGATTATGAAATGCGCTCAAATTTGTTTTCTTTTTATCTTTGTCTCACGATCTATTAAGTAATGTTGAGGATTAAAAAATGGATTTTGCAGTATATAGTGATAATGTGACATGATTTTAGATAGATCATGAAATTTCAGTAGGTAGCTTGTCTTTTTAAATGAGATTAACTATGTTTAAAAAGGATTAATATACTTTAAACAAACAGTATTGTGTAAACATATTTAGATAAGATACATGACAAATAGGTATATATTTTTTATAAATTAATTAATAAGGATTAACTTACTTGGTGCATAGCAACAGGAAATAACTAAATGTGCATAATGTTATATCAAAGGAAACATGTCACAGTAGAAATATTCAATTGTTTCATTTAATATTAAATAATTACATAAAAATTACTAGAAAATCCTCATATATTTAGTAGGTACTGAATTTAAGGTTTCTTTTACTTAATTCGCTAATCTTCGATATTATCGAGATTAAGAGATAAAATCTAATATTTATATAAATTTTTAATATACTAGATTCTGTTAGTTCAGAAACCATGTTGTAAGTAATTTAATTTATTAATAATTTGTGGCAAATTAATGTGAATATTTCGTTACATTTACATAGAAGTAGATTTAAGTAAGTTAACGGCATTTAATTGTATTGTTACCCAATAATTTTAGGTTCTGGTTAATAACGGTCTTCCTAACGTCAGTGTTAGCTTTAGATAATGTCTTCCATAACTGCAGCATGGAAGCATTCTGCGCGTAAGTAATTTTTTAAAGTCGTAACAAAGTTGCATTTGTTAGTTCTGAAATTCATAAATTTAAGAATAGATTATGGTTACATATTTTTATTTTTTTTAGGACTTTCAGAAGCCAAGTTTTGGACGAAAACACACTGTTTGTGGCTAATGTGGAAAATGCTACAATAGTTTCCAATACGGTTCAGGTACCGTTAACCAACGGTAACGGTGAAGAACTAACTCTGGAACTATCGATATTATTTGAGACTAAAATGAGGATTAAGGTATTGGAAAAGGTTCAACGTCGGTTCATCATTAGATATGGCATCGTTATTAGCAAAATTGACTATCGGTAAGAAGAAAATATTACAAAAAAACTTTATGTGAAAAGATAACACAGCCACACACAAAAAAAAAGTTGGGTATACTTTTTATGCGACATATATTTTTCGTAGTAATTTGGCCTCCTGAACACGAATCTGGGGTCGGAATTGACCCATCACGTCACAATTTTTTCCTAACCTCAAAAAACTTGTGAAAAATAGTGAAAATTGATGAAAATTTACTGGGAAAATTTGGAAAAAAAATTATTTCCACATCAAATAGTACTTTTTTATGTAAAAGACTCTGCTGAATTCAAATCCACTGTCAGAATTGAGCTAGAACGTGTGGTTTTTTTTCTAACCTCAAAAAACCGAGCAGGAATCGCTATTTTCAAATTCTGAGCGGATTTTGACCAGATTTTGTATAAAGGGGTTTTTTGGGTCGCTGATTACGAATATGAATTCACATTGTAAAAATTCAAGATGGCTGATCCAATATGGCGGGTGTACTTTTTTGAAATCCACCGATTTCAGTAAAATTTGGCATCATAAGGATTGCTGGTTGATCTCACCTTCATTAATCACACATCTGGAGCCAGATTTTCATAAATCAAGGTAAAATTTGTAGGCAGAGTCATAATTTTAGGCCGAGTAGGCGGCATTTTTTCGGCAAAGTCACATTTTTAGATTGAAGGCATAAGCAGATGCAGTGATGTGCTGTGTGGCAGTAATGTGTCCTTTTCCTTGAACTTTAAAATTATTAAGAAATAAAAGCATCTAAATGCCATAGGAAAACTGCATAGTAGTTAAAAAAATCTGATTGGAAAACCATAAGCCCATGCACGACTAAATAAATGAAAGAATAAAGTAGAAACTTTTTTGTCTTGTCCCATGGAAACAAGCACATCACACTACACATCATTACATGTGTAGAGTCCTTAAGTCATTTTTTTAAGCGAAGTCACATTTTTAGACGGAGTGGCATCTTTTACCTTGATTTATGAAAATCTGGCTCCAGATGTGTGATTAATGAAGGTGAGATCAACCAGCAATCCTTATGATGCCAAATTTTACTGAAATCGGTGGATTTCAAAAAAGTACACCCGCCATATTGGATCAGCCATCTTGAATTTTTACAATGTGAATTCATATTCGTAATCAGCGACCCAAAAAACCCCTTTATACAAAATCTGGTCAAAATCCGCTCAGAATTTGAAAATAGCGATTCCTGCTCGGTTTTTTGAGGTTAGAAAAAAAACCACACGTTCTAGCTCAATTCTGACAGTGGATTTGAATTCAGCAGAGTCTTTTACATAAAAATGTACTATTTGATGTGGAAATAAATTTTTTTCCAAATTTTCCCAGTAAATTTTCATCAATTTTCACTATTTTTCACAAGTTTTTTGAGGTTAGGAAAAAATTGTGACGTGATGGGCCAATTCTGACCCCAGATTCGTGTTCAGGAGGCCAAATTACTAAGAAAAATATATGTCGCATAAAAAGTATACCCAACTTTTTTTTGTGTGTGGCTGTGAATCTATTGTTCTACAGGCTGTTACAAATTCGCTTCTCACTACAGGGATCTCGGAAACGGTAAGAGGTACGAAGTAGCTTAAATGGGGGGCAAAGTTGCGTAATCAGGGGACCAACATTATGCATCTAAAAAATCAAGGCTAACATGATTAGTTTTCGAAATATTTGAAAAAATCCGAAATCTTGGAAATCCGTTTTTGTTTCATTTCAGCCTTGTTTGAGGTGATATTGAAAAAATAACAACACTTCCTCATGGACATTTTTTGCCCTCTATCGAATGGCATAATCAATTTTTGTATGTAACGTTGCGTCTCTTCTGGACCATCATCAACTAAATTTTTTTAAATTCGACCTCAGAAATTTCATTACATTTTTTGCAAGCCTTCATGATCCTCAATACTGTACTGCCTCAGCCCGGACCAGATTCAAACGTTTTGTCTCGCAAAATTCATCTTCAGTGTATTCGTTCTAAATTTATCTAAATTTTTTATTTAGATTTATTTGTTTATTGAATTATCGTACACTGTAAGTGCCGTTAGACCCTGTGAAATCCTATTTAAACTATTACCACCACGCGTTACAATAAAACATTTATTATTATACTATTACCATCACTTGGTTATACATAACTCAATAAGTCGTTGCGTCAAAATAAAAACATTATTACAATTTTAATTTTGTTATGACAAATTAATTCTTAACAATGCATATAACAACCAAAACGCCAACTGAATATTATTCTTTAAAAAATTTCAGTAAATGTTCAAAATCATTTTCGTTTTGGCAGAGGTTGAAAATGAAGATCAGCGTAATATTATCGGAATTTATTATACTTGTAACTGCAACTCTGTAAGAGCATATCAGATATATTTGTATGAATATCCTGAAAAAAATAGATCAGAATTTGTTTGAATTTTGAGCACTCGAGAAGCCTAGAAATAACTATGGTCACGGGAATAAAACTAAAAATTTTTTATTTTAATGCGTGGTGGTAATAATTTAAATAACTAGATGGATTTCACAGGGTCTAACGACACTTACAGTGTACGATAATTCAATAAACAAAGAAATCTAAATAAAAAAATTAGATAAATTTGAAACGAATACACTGAAGATGAATTTTTCGAGACAAAACGTCTGAATCTGGTTCGGATTGAGCTAGTACAGTATTGGGGGTTATGAGGGCTTGCAAAAAATGTAATAAAATTTCTAGGGTCGTATTTAAAAAAATTAAATTGATGATGGTCCTGGCGTGACGAAACGTGACATATAAAAATTGATTATGCCATTCGATAGAGGGCAAGAAGTGGCCCTGAGAAAGTGTTATTCTTTTTTCAATATCACCTTAAACAAGGCTGAAACGAAACAAAAACGAATTTCCTAAATTTCGTTTTTTTTTTTTTTCAAATATTTCGAAAACTAATCATGTTAGCCTTGATTTTTTAGAGGCATAATGTTGGTCCCCTGATTATGCAACTTTGCCCCCATCTAAGCTAGTTTGTATCTCTTACCGTTTTCGAGAACCCTGTAGTGAGAAGCAAATTTGTAACAGCCTGTGATATCCATAAATATTGCAGTACATTACAGGGTGATTTTATTTTTATACGCATCTCGTTTTAGTCCAACAATAGAAATATCAGATGACACAGTGACTATAACTGCAGCCCGGGCGGTAGATGAAAAAATCGTGGTAAGAAAAGGCCCACCGTTTACTGTGGAATGTTACCACCAAGATCAACTGGAGATAGTTCTAAATGGGGATCGTCTAGTTATGAAAAATGTTAGTTCACAATAATAAAATATACCACTCAATTTTGAACTATAATAATGTATTAAACGAAATAACTATATTTCAGACTGAGATAATAGAAGAACAAGCGTTCAGCTTTACAGTAGAATTTGAGGGAGCTAAAAATCTGTATGGTTTAGCCCAACACTCTTTCCAACTGGCCTTGAAAGAAACAGCTGACGGTTCATCGGAACCTTTTCGAATGAAAAACCTCGATATTGGGGAATACGATGAGGATTCTCCCTTGGCTTTGTACGGATCCATACCAGTTGTCTATGGACACTCGTAAGTTACTGCAATTGACTTAAAACTTCCTTCAAATCGTTTTCATTTTGACAGGGCTGATTTCACTTCGGGCGTATTTTTACACAATGCAGCGCAGATGTTTGTGGATATCAGCTACACCGGCGACAGACCTTCGGCTTATTTTATGGTGGAATGTGGACATTTTGACCTCATTTTGTTCCTGGGTCCCACGCCTAGGGACGTAGTTAGACAGTACACCTCCATGATGGGCATTACCCGCATGCCACAAGTAACAATATAATATGTTATTCATATTCCAATTTCACGTTGATACTGTAATGAATTACATTTTTAGTTGTGGGTTTTTGGTTACCACCAAAACCGTCATACTTACTGGACCCAAGAAGAAGTAAAGGACGTGGTAGCGAAAATGGACCAGGCTGATTTTCCGCTGGATATAATTTACCTTGATTATGGCTACACCAATAATAACAGGTATTTCGAGTGGAATCCCGAAAACTTTTCGGATCCCTTGGAAATGCAACAAAACATATCAGCTACAGGGCGTCGCATCATCACCGTTTCAAATACTCATGTACCGGTCGATCTAGACTACTATATATACGTTGCCGCTAAACAATTGGATTATTACGTTAAAACTCCCGATGGAAGCGATTTCAAAGGTACGTAAATTATTTTAATTACTAGTCGAATGAGTGGCAAAATTCCATCTACTAAATATTTTGTAAAGCATTTAAGACAAAAAAAGTTAAAACCAAAATATAAGCTTTCAAAAATTTGGTTGAACAAATTCCTGGTTGGTTGCCTAGTTATCTTGACTTTTAGACAGACATCTTACTCTGTTCATCAGAACAAGCCACGAAAAAGCTTCAGAGGAAAAAAGAGTTATGTGTCATGGTTTTAAAATTTTCAAGGCCCCTGCTAATATTTAAAGTAGGTACGCTGGGCGACGCAAACAAGATCTCCCATCAAACTTCCACTAGTGCACTGCATAGGCTTTATGCTCGTGCAGCGATGTCGGAGACGTACCCAGGATCACTCCATCTACCTCTCTCTACAGGACTAGAGACGTGCGCAACAACAGTAATCCTATAAGAGCGGTGACGAGGTCACAAACAGCCTCAGTCACCATTGAAGATGCCGTCAATGAAGAACGGCGAAGCGATTGGAAGTATTGAATGGGACCAGTTGCAAAAGCTACTACGTTTCAGAGGACCGTCTTTGTCTGGTGAACAGTTTCGTCCTTACCGGTCTTCGGTCAGAGTCTAGTCTGCGTGGGCATGGGCAGGTCAAAGATTCCTATTTAAGACTATAGAAATGTAAGCCTATAACTGGCAGCAACCAAGTAATGGGCCACGACATAACAACTTGTAAAATCATCATCGTACTTTTAAATAACATGTTTTTCCAAATGTTAAGTGTTTTAACCAGTCTGGAAATTGTCCAACCACTGAAAACTGTCAGGGAACTCTACAAACCAAGTCATGATATATATTTTTCACGCTGAAATATTTTTAATTAAAGATCTCACCAAAGCTGGAGAATCGGTTTGGATCGACTTCCTGACCCCAGACGCTCATACCTGGTACGCATTCCTTTTTGATTTTAGTAAGTTTTCGGGAACTTCCGAAACTATAGCAGGATTCTGTCATGATTCCAACCAACCGTCCTTTCTGAACGATACCACCGAAAGGACATTTCCACCGGAAACTTTACATTACGACCAAATCCAGGACAGGGAAGTTCACAACTTCTACCCATTAATGCACGTAAGTAAAATAATACATTTAAATTTTTCTGTACATTCGAAAAATCTCATTTTAGGTGAGAGCCGCAGACGCAGGACTATCCTTGAGGGACCAGTACAAGAAAAGGGTGTTCATTCTTAGTCGCGCCCATTTCGCAGGATCTCATCAATATGCTGCTGTGTGGACTGGAGATAATACCGCAAGCTGGCCTCATCTTCGAAGTAGTATATATGAATGTCTTACGTACAATTTAGTGGCAACAGTGCAATGTGGAGCAAACGTTGGAGGATTCTATGGTGATCCAACAGAAGAGCTTTTGCAGAGGTGGTACCAGGTGGGTTTTTTAAACGATTATCCCGCTGTCTTTAAAGCTCCTTCCACATCTGCCTTTGTATTGCCTCCATACTTCAAAATTGCACTTGTTTCATGTCCTTCATCACCTTCTTCATTCCATTCTTTAGTTTTTCATTTCACTATCACATCATTTCTAACGAAAAATGATTTGTAGGTGGGTATTTGGATACCATATTTCAGGGCTCATTCTAGTGAAGATTCGGCTCCACGAGAGCCGTATCTGTTCTCTGAAGAGGTACAATCAGTGATCAGACTTGCCATCAAGACCCGTTACAAGCACATACCCTACTGGTACAGGCTCATGTTCGACCATACCGAAAGTGGAGACCCTCTGATCAGGCCGCTCTTCTACAGCTACCCCGAATATATCGATTATGACGATCACTTCTTGATTGGTAAGTACAAAGGTGATACCTTGGTTGGTAATAATTCTATTGGTTTTTAGGAGAGGAAATTCTTTCGAGGCCAGTGTTGGAGGCTGGTGTGAGTGAGGTGCAAGTCACTTTTCCTGGAAACGATATTTGGTACAGGGTTGACGATGATTCATGGGCAGTTTATGAAGGTGGCACAAATCAAAGCCTAGCCGTAAATATTACTACGGTAAGTATTTAATAATATTAATATGAGATTGTTTTGATTATTCAGTTAATTACAGTAAACTTTCAAAATATAAATATTTTTTTTATTGCAGTCACCGTACTTCTATCGAGGAGGCAGTATAATTCCAAGGATGGACATTGAAAGACCGTCTACTACACAGATGATGACTGATCCATTTCAACTATACGTCACTTTGGATGATGTAAGCGAATTGCTTAGTTTACATAAGGCGTTTCTTAAATATTGCGACAAACTTTAAAGTGTGATTTCTTTAGAAGGGTCAGTTACAATTCAGTTTTAATTTTATTGCTCACGGTTGGAATAAATACGGGAGAATGCAATTTGGGGTATCCTTTTATCTTGTCAAGACGTTTCTACACTTAAATAACTTTCCTTTTTACAATTTGTTTAAAGAATGCTAAATATATTTACACTGTTGGAAACAGCTACGTTCAATTCTATTACAATCTTCTTAGTGCTTGTTGTAAGGCTTTATTTGATTTCGCAAGTATAGTTTTTCCGAAGTCAATTGAAGAACCTATAATTTCAAGGTATGTACCAGGCTCGGTCGCTAAGCAGCAACTCGGCATTGAAATATTTGAAAAACTTGTTCCCATATTTATTTAGCCATACCCATATATAGGTCTGGTCGAACTAAAAGTGCAGGTGGTAGAAATGTATACGACCAGTTGAAGAATGCGAGCGCGGCCAAAGCAAAACGAGCACAGTTGTATTGGGCTTCTGGACAATAAATTACAGCAGGCGAGTGGTTCATAAATTGCTCAGCAGTGCAGTGCTGCAGTGCGGAATTTGGTGAGAATCAGGCAATTTTAATTTATTATAGGCACCTTCTATCAATCATTCATATTACAATTGCGAAAGGGAGAAATAAGAGGGATATTTTGTTTACTAATATTATCACAACATGGCATTTTGGAGACCTTTTGAAACGGAACAAAACAAAATTCACGACCAATATAATAAAATTGTTTAAGGACACAAATAATTAAAATATGTTGTTGGCCAAATGAACTTATAATAGAAATTTTCTACACATTATATACAAATTATTAGAATTTTTTACCTTTAGCAGAAAACTTTTTTAGGGACGCCTATGAAACTCATTAAATTTTATTACCAGACGTTTTTTGCATATTCAACTGACTTCGGAAGGACTTGAGTAGTAACTATTTGAGGCTACCCATTTTCGGCAGTGCTTTTTTAAAGCTAAGATGTAAAAGCACAACCTATACCCGACGGCCGAAAATATAAATATTGATTCATACATAATATAGAAACACTATTACCGTAAAGTGTATAAAACTTAAAAATGATTTTTATAACGGTTCAATATTATTTGCTTATGTTAAATGATGTGCCGCTCTCTTTGCACATCGATAGGATCTATAACAGTCATAGACTGAGTTACACTGAACGCGATTTATTTCCTATCTCTGTCTATCGCACTTATTACAGATAGGGAAATGCTCTTTTTAGTGGGTGTAAACGGACGTACGTAGAATTCGAGTTAGCCGTAGTTAGAAACGTCAAACTATAAGCGGGCGCGAGGGTTTGCGTATTCCGTGACTATAGTAAATTTATAAATTAAAAAAATACAATCGGGACGTTTTAAAACGTAGGAATAATAATTAAAATGGATCAAAGTGCCGGTTGTAGCAAACGGTCTGTTGCTCATAAACGCCCTAACCTATGCGATGCGGA